TACAGGACTGCACCCCTCCCTTTAGGTGCCAATTGTATGTCCAGGTTGTCACCTGTGCTTCTGACTCATTGGCTATAGATGAGAGATTCCAATGACCCCTTTTCCTTGGGTTTGATTATTCTGCTAGAGCAACTCACAGAACTCAGAGAAATATTTTACTTATTGGATTACTGGTTTCTTATAAAAGGATGTAACTCAGAAATCCCGACGGAAGAAATGCATAGGGCAGGGTATGAGGAAAGGGCACAGAGCTTCCATGCTCTCTCAGAACATAGCACTCTCCTAAAATCTCCATGTGTTCACTAACCCAGAAATTCTCCAAACTCCCACCTTTAGATTTATATGGAGGCTTTATTGCATAGTCATGATTGTTGAATTATCAGCCACTTTGTGATTGATACAATCTCCAGCTCCCATCCCTTCCCCAGGGGTCAGTAATCCCCGGTGTACTCTGATAACATGGTTGTCTCCTCTGGAAATCAGCCCCTACTTAGGTGCTTTCCAAAAGTCACCTCGTTATGTAACAATACACCTTTATGGTCCTCATCTCTTAGGAAATGCCAAGGGTTTTAGGAACTCTGTGCTAAGAATGTGAAAGAAGACCAAATATATATTTCATATTATTAGTTACAGTATCACAAGTCTTGACTTTAGGATTGGGTAGTCCCTCTTCTGTGCCACATGCCCCTATGTTCATGTCTATTGATGCATTTACTGTATATATATTCTTTGTATCCCCTATTAAATGATGAGTTTGCTGAGTCATTGCTCAGTGGTATGTGCTTAAAGAAATAGTTGTTGAAGTGAGATTTTAATCCATTACAGTAAATAAAATTAAGGAAGATCATACAGTACTAATCACACTCTTTCTTCTGTATATAGCTCTTAAACTTTTATGTAGACCTTCTTAATGTTTGGAAACTGATGTATGCAGTGCACAAAATTCTAAGTACTTCTAAGCTTCTATTATTATCCTCTTTTACATATCAAGAAACAGGCATGCAGTTTAACTAACTTGCTCATGGTTACACATCTAATAAGAGGTGGACTTTAACCAGAGCCCAATCATCACAAAAATGCTGGAGATAGTAATCTTACCCTGTACATGATTATGTCTTAATTCTTTGCAAGTGCTTTAGCAATTGTCTTCTATTATTCCTATTTACTGATGCTGGGAAAGATTGAGGGCAGGAGGAGAAGGGGATTACAGAGGATGAGATGGTTGGATGGCATTACTGACTCAATGGACATGGGTTTGGGTGGACTCCAGGAGTGGGTGATGGACAGGGAGGCCTGGCATGCTGCGGTTCATGGGTTCGCAAGAGTCGGACACGACTGAGCGACTGAACTGAACTGAACTGAACTGAGGAATGACGTCAGTGTGGCAATGTGGCCTCTTACATTTCTGACATAGTTATTAAATATTGTGATGTTAGGCAAGACATGTCATCTCTCTCAGATCAACTGAATTGTAGGGTTGGGATTAAATAATCATCAAAAGCTCTAATACACTTTTCATCAACAGCATATAGTGGATGTGCAATATGTTCCATATCTCACAAGGTAGGTGACAGAACCAGGTTAAATCCCTGGAGTTAAACAGCTGTTTGCTTAGAAAGGGGTACTCCCTTACAGCTGACACAAAGCCCTTTTAGTTTTAGATGGAATATGAGGAGTTTTACTTGTGTCTTTTGATTTAAAACTTAATAAAATTCATATCTAAAATGGATATCTCATTCCCTTAGTTTGGTTGCTATGTATAGTTATACAGGCTTTGTACTGTACAACTCCAGGGGGTACTGCTCACATAAATTGTGATGAATATGACATGTCTGGAACTGGACAGTGTAGTGACCTGATTCTTGACAACTCCATTTCCCATAAAAGCAGACCCTATGACTTTATTGACATTATTTCTATGTTAAGGCAAAATTCCATATTGTATAATAAGAAATTAACATAATGAGACTGCATCTGCACATCTGTGTGGCACAATGGATACACGTTTCCAATCCTGTAGGTCTTTTTCTCTCTTTATCCAGCCTTATTTACTTTGTGTAGGCTCTAAAATCTTCATGTGGTCACATATGGCCAGTGTTGCCTCTTTCCTATGAGTACATGAAAGAAAACAAAACTGAGCCACTGATAGAGCTGCAAGAAGAGTACAAATCTGGGAGGAGATCTGGAGGGAATGCAGCAAGTTTATCAGACTTGAGCAAGGGATAAAGAGGGAGGTGGAAGTGAGACTAGGCATGAAGACAGAGTCCAGGGATGAAGAGTATTTGGCAGATTCAGCCTGAGAGGGAAAAACAGTGCAGAAGAATCAGGACTTAGATTTGTTTTAGTGGGTTAGTTTTTCAGTCCATAATCAAAGATTCCAAGAGGTCCTCATCTTTCTCTTGAAGGCATCCAATCACTTCTTTAGTAGTAATTACTCTGAGGGGCCTGAAAACTGACTGTGTCCTACTTATCCTAGAGGTTTTCTAAATATAGGCCTAGATATGATAGTAGAAGGTGATAAGTGAATTTTAAGTAATAGTTGGTAATGACATTTTGGGAATGGGACATTTCTTGGAATGTCTCAAATCAGACAACCCCCTGCCCATGCTTATGAAGCTCACCATGGTCCAGAGAGGGCAGAAAGCACAAACATACCTGAGACACTTGGTCCTCAAAGAAACAAATGTTTCCCTAAAACTAAGAAACATTTTTCTTTTCACTTCAGTTCCCTTCAGTCACTCAGTTGTGTCTGACTTTGTGACCCCATGAATTGCAGCATGCCAGGCTTCCCTGTCTATCACCAACTCCTAGACTTTGCTCAAACTCATGTCCATGGAGTCAGTGATGCCATCCAATCATAATAGCTAATACATAGTCTGTATATTATTGAGTTCCTTTGTGTCGTCTTTTAAAGACACATTTGTTTTCATCATTTAGATATTATCAGTTACTATTAAGAATAAAATAAAATAAAATAAAATAAAATTTTTCCTGACTCTCCTGAAGTGCCTTAATGGCTGTGTATCAGTTGAAATGAAAGCACTTAATTAGTTACTCAGTTCAAGGTAATTGTCCATATGACTCATCTAAGTAGTTACAGAATGTTCTAGCTCCCCGGAAAATACTATCAATTAGAAAATGCCAAACTCTCTGCAATTCTTTAGTTTCAGATAATCTATTCTCTCTTTCTGTCATTTCAAATACATACTCCTCACATTTTTGACTTATGACATCCACTGACCTCTGGTATAGTTTTTAAATAAATGCTTATACTATATTCCTTATTTACACTTCAAAGTATACTACCCAAAATAAGCTTCTTACTTCTGAGGAAATGCATACATGTTTCGAGTATTTTATTTTCTAAAAGACCTGAGGCATTTTACATCCATGGACTCCTCAGTTCTGCTCTGCTCAGTTGTCGTTTTTTAAATTAATTTATTTTTGACTGCACTGATTCTTTGTTGTTGCACATAGATCTTCTCTAGTTGCAGTGAGTGGAGGCTAATTTCTAGTTGTGGCGCAGGGGATTCTCATTGTGGTAGTTTCTCATTGCAGAGAATGGGCTCTAGGGTACACAGGCTTCAGTAGTTGTGATGCATAGGCTCGGTAGTTGCAGCTTGTAGCTTGCGGGCTCTAGAGTAGAGGTTCAGTAGTCATGGCCTTTGGGCTTACTTGTCCCATGGCATGTAGAGTCTGCCCGGACCAGGGATCAGACCTGTGTCCCCTGCCCTGGCAGGTGATTCTTAACCAGGGGACCACCAGGGAAGTCCTCCACTCAGTTTTGATGTACTGTAGAACACACGGCTAATTATTATTCAAGAAGGGTTTGGAATCCTAACTTTTCCATTCTAGGCAACCTCTGGTAGAATGCCCTTTTGCATTCACCCATCAGTCATCCCCGTTGCCTTTCTAGAACTGACCGGAAGGATTCTGTAGTCCTCAAGCTCTCCAGGGGCCTGTGCTGTGGCATTCTTCCTCTTCGCCTTCTCCTTGGACTGAGAGCAGCACTCCATGCTCTGGAGTCCTCTCCCTTGTCATAACACCTTTGGACCCTGTAGTGTAAGTATATATATTTATATATAGTATATATATTATTATCTTTTTTTTTCTTTCTGCTCAGTTCTTGGCACAGAGTTCCCAAAACCCTTGGAATTTCCTTAGTGATAAAAATGCCTCTTTTATGCTAATGAGATTATTTATGGTGTGAAGTCAGGGGGGTTGGGATGCAAGAGGGTGAAAGTTGGGGGTTAAGTAGCCATGATTGGAAGGTTGAAATTTCTAGTTCCACCCCTGGTCCTCCAGGAAGAGGAAAGGGATTGGAGAGTGAATTCAGCAGCTAATGGCCAATGATTTAATCAGCCATGTTTACCCAACAAAACCTCTATAAAAACCCCTAGTCAATGGGTTTCAGGAAGTTTCAAAGTATGTGAACATATCCACATGCTGTAGGTGGGAGAGTGCTTCCTGACACCTGGGGGACTGAGGCTGTTGCCCTTGGAACCTTTCTGAACCTTGCCCTATGTACCTATTCATCTGGCTGTTTATTTGTATCCTTTATAATAAGCTGTGATAGTAAATATAGCACCTTACTACATTCTGTGAGTTGTTCTGGGGAATTACTAAACCTTAGAGAGGGGGTCATGGGGAACTCTCAAATTCATAGTCCACCTGGCAGAAGTGTTGGTAGCTACTGAGCACCTCATTGATGGCTGGCATCTTAGTTGGAAGCAGTCTTGTGAGACTGAGCATTTAACCTGGGTGTATTTCCTAGAGGTTCTAGTTCTCTGGGTAAATCCTGACTAGTACCTAAGCCTTGATACCCTCTTCTCCATTTCAAAACAACTACTATCTTAGAATGTGCCACTGGCCTCTTTATTGCTTTCCACTCTGGCCTCCTATCAATCACTCTCTACCCAGCAATTACAGGGATCTTTTTATGATATGAAAGTAATCATATCACTTCCCTAAATCAAAAACCCTTCAAGGCTTACCTTTATACTTAAGAACAAAATCCATACGTGTCATTCCAGGACTACTTGACTGGCCCCATTCACTTCTTCCATTTCCATCTCCACTTTCTGCCACACTCCCTTCTCATTTCCTGTCTTATGCACATGGGGTCCCTTCCACCTTTCTCTTCCAGAGGCAGCCTAGAAACATAGGTGAGGAAGGAGAACTTTAAGAAAGGTTAGCCCCCAAACCATGAAAACAAGCTTATGATAAGCCAAATATGATGGAACCAGAATTTTTTTTTTCATTTTTTTTCCATTTATTTTTATTAGTTGGAGGCTAATTACTTTACAATATTGTAGTGTTTTTTGCCATACATAGACATGAATCAGCCATGGATTTACATGTATTCCCCATCCCGATCCCCCCTCCCACCTCCCTCTCCACCCGATCCCTCTGGGTCTTCCCAGTGTACCAGCCCCGAGCACTTGTCTCATGCATCCAACCTGGGCTGGTGATCTGTTTCACCCTAGATAATATACATGTTTAGATGCTGTTCTCTCGAAACATCCCGCCCTCGCCTTCTCCCACAGAGTCCAAAAGTCTGTTCTGTACATCTGTGTCTCTTTTTCTGTTTTGCATATAGGGTTATTGTTACCATCTTTCTAAATTCCATATATATGTGTTAGTATACTGTAATGGTCTTTATCTTTCTGGCTTACTCCACTCTGTATAATGGGCTCCAGTTTCATCCATCTCATTAGAACTGATTATGAATTCTTTTTAATGGCTGAGTAATATTCCATGGTATATATGTACCACAGCTTCCTTATCCATTCGTCTGTGGATGGGCACCTAGGTTGCTTCCATGTCCTGGCTATTATAAACAGTGTTGCGATGAACATTGGGGTGCACGTGTCTCTTTCAGATCTGGTTGGAACCAGAATTTAAAATATTTTGGATCATGATCCACAGTAAGAAAATCCACTTGACGCTGCAACCTAGCGTGTGCACACACATACACAACAATCATTTCATTAAATAATATAATACGGCATTTATGTGGTCTACACTCTGATTCTTCCTATTCTAGGCTATTCCCTCCTCTTCCCTTCCCTGGGAAAAATTTTGGGGACTTCCCTGGTGGTCCAGTGGCTAAGAATCTGCCTGCCAATGCAGGAGACCCAGGTTTGATCCCTGATCTGAAAGGATCCCACAGGCCACAGAGCAGCTAAACCCAGGTACCACAGCTACTGAGCCTGTGCTCTAGAGCCCTCGAGCCACAACTAGTAGAGTCCAAGTGCTGCAATTGCTGAAGCCTGTGTGCACCTAGAGCCCATGCTCCACACCGAGAGAAGCCACCACAGTGAGGAGCCCGTGCACGGCAACTGGAGAGTCGCCTCCACTGCAACTGGAGGAAACCTGTGCGCAGCAAGAGGGACTCAGTGCAGCCAAAAATAAAGAAAGAAAATGCTCATAGAAAGATTAAGAAATGTTGGCCATGAACCATAAATTAATTTCATGACTCACCGATGGGCCATAACTTGCCATTTGAAGTGCATTGGATACAATAAAGAGGTTTTGGGGTGGGGGATTAGGGCTTTGAGGACTCTGGATCCTGAGAGCCACTAGAGAATAAGAAAAATTGGCTCGTGTTAGATCATGACTTTTGGTTTAACCTCTGTCATCTCTATTTGGTTTGCTCTTCTGAAAAGGAATCAAGACCTGGGCTGTAGGTTCTGAATGCTTTCTCTGTTCTGTGTTAAAATATTAAGTCTCATAAAGGTCTATGTTATCTTGTTTACTTTCTAAGTGTCGGTGTCCTCATCTTAAAATAAGAATAATAATTCCAACTTTTTGTAGTCATTGTGAAGATTGTATGAAGGAATGTACCAAAAGGACTTAGCACATAACTGCCTGTAATATACAACCAATAAGTGGTAAGGTGTGAGCTAGGCAGTCCCTAAAAGGCAGGTGCTACTAGCATCATTTTGTGGTATGCAAACAGAGATTCATTAAGTCAAAGTAGATTTGCCCCAGATTCAGCAATTTTTCAGTGTTTCATTTTCCTGACCCAGTTTGAACCTCTTAGAGATAAACAAAGAAGCTAGTCAGATAGGGATTGAAATATCTGTGACACTTGTCTTAGGTATGTGGCAAGAATGGGTGCATCTCTGAGTCAGGTACCTTGGGGCACCCATGGGTCTCCCCCGTAGTGTAACTGACCTAAATACAAATATGCGTTGCTGTTCACATCGTTTTCTTGGTTAATCATGAATTTTTTATATATTGGAGTTTAAATTGATCTTTCATAAAATCCTTCTCAAGAATTGGAAATTGTCTCTGACAAGTTGCATTGATATCCTTGGCTTTTTCTTCATGATTGTGTTATTTAAATTAAAACATTGTTCTGAAATATTAAAGGTCAAATGTGTGAGAATTAAATTCGTTTAGTACCAATGTACTTAACAAAAAAGATTTTGAAAATTTCTAGAAAATGGTAAATTAATATTTTTACTCAGACTGCTTCTTCCTTGAGCTGTTCATATCTTTCTGCTACCAACCTTTTTATATCACGGATTTAAACAGTCTAGAATATTAACATAGTATCTACCATGCCACAAAGTGTTTATAACTCTGCTTTAAGCTGACATCCATTATAGATAGCACATTGCTTACATCAGTGTTTAAAAAACAAACTTTTTATGTGACACAGGTAGCACCTGTATCACAAAGGCAAATAGTATGAATTATTGCTTTTGAATGAAAGCTTGTCTCTGAGCCCAATGGTGTATATGTGTGTGCGTGCTCAGTAGCTTCAGTCATGTCTGACTCTTTGCTACCCTATGGACTGTAGCCGCCGGGCTCCTCTGTCCATAGGATAGAGGTCCAGTTCCATTCTTTTGTATGTGGCTGTAGAATTTTCCCAGCACCATTTACTGAAGAGGCTGTTCTTTCCCCATTAATTCTTTTGCTGTAAAGTAATTGGATGTGCGTGCATGCTCAGTCACTCAGTCATGTCCAACTCTTTGCAACTCCCCTGGACTGTAGCCTGCCAGAATCTGCTGTCCTTGGATTTTTCCAGGCAAGAATATTGGAGCGGATTGCCATGCTCTCCTTCAGGGGATCTTTTCAACCCAGGGATCAAACCTGCATCTCCTGCATTGCAGGTGGATTCTTTATCTGAGCCACCTGGGAAACCTCCAGTGATATATGCTAAATAATAATGATAATAAAAATTTACCTACTAGCATTGCAGACCAAAACAAAAATATCTTGGTAAAGTATTTTCTGTTCAGGAAAATACATCTCTTGGGTAGCTTTTTCTTTTCTGACCTGCATGGTAATTGGAGGTTACTGGTTTGGTCTGATAAATTGCTTGGCATATAAAATAGGGTTTAACAAATTATCTTCTTGGCTGACATATTTTAGAAAATCCTGTAGGCATTTGAACTACAGAAGGGAGTATTTTACCATGACAAATACAATTCTGATCAATAAAATCTGATCAAGATATGTATACTTAGTCGCTCAGTCGTGTCTGACTCTTTGCGACCCCATGAACCATAGCCTGCCAGCCTTCTCTGTCCATGGGATTTCCAAGGCAAGAATACTGGAGGGGTTGCCACTTCCTTCTCCAGGGTTCCTGATGCAGGGATCAAACCCAGGTCTCTTGCATTTCAGGCAGATTCTTTACCATCTGAGCCACCAGGGGAGCCCAAAATCTGACCAAGAGGGCTTTTTAATTTTTTCCTCAAGAGATCATTGGTTCACAAAGCCTCCTATATGGCTTAACTTTTGGAAGTGCTAAGACATGATGCTGGGAAAGATTGAGTGCACGAGGAGAAGGGGTGGCAGAGGATGATCAGAGGTTGGACGGCATTGTCGACTCAATGGACATGAGTTTGAGCAAACTCCAGGAGATAGTGAAGGAGAGGGAAGCCTGGCGTGCTGCAGTCCAGGAGTCTCAAAGAGTCAGGCATGATTAAGTGGCTGAACAACGAAGACATTACAAAAAGGTTTCAAAGAGTTCTTTGTGCTTTGCAAACTCCTGGAAAAATAGGGAGCCAGGAATACCCTAGTGGAAGAGAGTCACTCACAGGATGGCTCCACCGTCAGTTTCTTCCCCGGTACCAGTGACAAACGTGGCATTTCCTCCTCCTGCTTTAACACTTGGCAGAGGATGCCTCACTTCAGTCTGTGAGGCATCCTCTGCCTGACTTCTCAGAGGAAGTAGTTTTCTTTTCCTTTGCTTTCACCCTAAGTCTTCCATAACTCCCCCTTTCTTCTTCCCAGTTTATTTAACTTCATATTATCAAATTCTTTCCCTCTCATTACTCTTAGGGTTTTGAGGAATGATCACTGTGAACCATATGAGGAAAAGACAGACATAGGATAAGGTGTCAAATACCCATTTGTTGTTATTGTTGTTGTTGGTAAACCACAGTTGAAGATTGTGGCTGTGATCTAAAACTGAACACAAAAGGCTCTTCCCGCGCCCCGCCCCCCGCCCCCACAACTGCCCTGACCTCTCTGATGTGTGAAATTCTAACCTGCTAAGTTAGTTTGCTATTCAGAAGAGGAAAAAGCAGGGAGGGAGGGGAAGAAAGATGGTCTTTGGGTTCACAGGTTCCAAGGGAGAGAGCCAAAGAGAGCTTCAGACAAGCATGGATAATGACCCATTTTACCAAGGTCACCAATGAAATAAATCCTTCTTTCCTTGGGAAGGACAAAGTGAAGGGGTCAAAGAAAAACAGAATTTCTCTGTTATTTAAAATTATTTATTCCTCAAAAAATTAAAACCAGAACTACCATATGATCTAGCAATTCTACTTCGGGGTATATGCATCCAAGGAAATGAAATCACCATGTTGAAGAGATAGCTGCACCTCCATGTTCCTTGCAGAATTTACAGTAGCCAAGACATGAATTTAACCTAAGTGTCCATCAACAAATGAATGAATAAAGAAAATGTGAATCACACACACACACACACACACACACACACATATAACACAGAATACTATTCAACCATATAAAGGAAATCCTGCCATTTCTGACAACCTGGATGGAACTTGAGGGCATTATGTCAAGTGCAATAAAACAGAGAAAGACAACTACTATATGATCTCACTTATGTGTAAAATATATTTTAAAAAGAAATAAACAACAAACAAAAAGACTTAAAAAACAGAGATCA